GCTGATGTGTATGTTGATCTAGAAGAGAAAGTGAAGGTGATGGTGGTTTGGATGTAAATATAGTTGCTATAATTGATATGGCGGATGGTGGAGATATAGGTGAGGATGATAATGAATAAAATATTACTTATGATGATCATGAACATAATACTACTAGTGATGATCATGAACAAAATGTTGATGATGATGACAATGAATAGAATGTAGGAGATGTAGGTGTTGATGATGATTTTGATGACTACTTACCAATTGAGAAATCACAGAGTGATAGTAGTTTTAGTGATGGTGATTCTCAAAGTTTTATGGATAAAGAACAAATTGAGGCTAGAAAGAGAAGAAAGTGTGGTTTTAGACTTTAGTTTAGTAATTAATGTGTGGTTCCTACCCAATTAGTTAGAAGAACTAACGAATCGGTAAGGCTTAGTATACCTCAACCCATTAAAGAAGGCTACACAAGTGAATATGATAACAACAAGGATGATGAGATTATCCCTCTTAAAAGTGATGAAGATGATGTATTTATTTATAGGAGAAGGAAAAGGAGGAAAGAGAGATTGTTTGTAATCCCACATGTAACCACAAGGACTTAGTGTTCAAGGTTGGAATGAAATTCACAAATAAAAAAAAATTTAAATGAGTCAGTGCAGTTATATGGTAATAAAAATGGAAGACATTTGACTTAGATAAGAAATTCAAAGAGAGTCATGGAAGCTAAATATGTACAAGGTTATGGATAGAGAGTGTATGTAAGTAAAAGTAGTTAAAGCACACCTTTAAAGTGAGGTGTGTGATGCTAACCATAAATATGAAAGATCATTGACAAATAGGCTAGCTTCTTGTTTATGGTTAGCCGAAACATATAGCCATAAGTTTTGGAACAATCCTAATTAACTTGCGAAGGAACTACAAGATGTCGTTAATGAGAGATATGCATTAATTATCAATATTTAGATATATTATTAGGTTAGAAATTTGGCTTTTAGAGATGTTAAGAGGGTCTCTCAATAAGGATTATGCAAGATTGATATCGTATATTCTTGAGTTGAAGAGGACGGATAGGCTAGGAATATTCTGTTTTAAACCTATAGAGTGTGGTAATTTTGAGTTTAGAAGATCCTATATTAGATTTTCAAGATTAAGAAATAGTTTTTTTGGGTAATTATAGAAGAGAGTTTGGTCTTGATGATGTTTTTTTAAAAATATTTTTGGAAGGTTATTTATTAATTACGGTAGGGAAGGATGCCAATGAGCAAATGTTTCCCATAGCACAGTCGTTATGGATAATGAGAATGGAGATAACTAGAAACGGTTTATGGATTTGTTTACAAAGGATCTTCGCATCGGTGATAGAAATTCTTGGACGGTAATAAGTGACCAACAAAAGGCAAGTTCAAGCATTATCTCTGTTTAACTAACTTATTTAATATCTATAAGATTAAAATCATTTATCTTTTTTGTCATTTAAATGATTGTTTACTTATGATTACAAGGACTACATAATACTCGTCAATGAATACATGCCAAATTATGAACATAGAAATTACACACAACACATTTATGTAAATTAAAAAAAGCATCATGGCGAGTCTGTATAAGAAGTTGTTTTAGAGGGTAGTGACTATTACTAATTTGGTGGATTACAATGCTAGATTGGAAGAGTTGAAAGTGGTAGATGAGGCGACATTTGATGACTTCATGAAGATTGAACTACCAAAATTTTACAAGGCTTTCTTTAAGACCAATATGAAGTGTGATGCTTTTATGTTAGAAGCATTTAATGAAACTATATACAAGACTAGCATAAAGTAATTAATCGATATGTTAGAAGATATTAAGATCTATGCGATGGAAAGGATGTACATTAATTGTAAGATGTTTGAGTCGATCAATTATGAAATTTACCCAAAAATAAGAAGAAAGTTGGAAAAAATTAAACTAGAAGCATATGCATCTAGGATAGTACCTACAACTAGTGATAGATTTCAAGCAAGATTTGATAAGAATCTGTGTATAGTAAATTTGAAAGAACATACATATAGGTGCGGAGAATGAGATGTCGGTGGTATTCCATGCAAGCAAGTAGTAACGAGCATTACCTTTATAAGAAGTGACCTTGCAGATTATATTGATTTTTGTTTCAAGAAGCAGAGACATATGAGAACATATTTGAATGGTCTTGAACATTTAAATAGCTTAAAAATATGGCCTAGGAGTCAAGGTCGTGATGTATAACCCCATTTTATAGAAAATGCCGGAAAAGTCGGTTTATTTGAAAAGTTATCTTACTACTCTTATTGTTTTTTTATTCATTCTTTTTTCGTTTACTTTTGAAAAATAAATAATTATGGTATATGATTTTCAAAATGAAAGGCCCAAGAAAAAAAGGAAAAAAACTCAAGGAGAAGAAAAGAGAAATCCAAACAAAACATCCCGACTAAGAGTTTAAATGCAATGTCTAAATTGTTATGCTTATGGCCATAACAAGAGAGCATGTGAAATTAAAGATCAAGAGAATGAAAACCCTACTAAAAATCATGTAAGTGAATAAACTTAATATGCTAGCATTAGATCGTTAGTTTATTTGACTTATTATACATGTGACATATTTAGAGTAAAAGAGGAAGATCTATAAAGAGTTCAACAAATACTCCAGCTTCCAAACAAGCAAATTTACCAATAAGTATAGTTTAATGTTGATAATTCTATTTTCAATTTAATTCCTCATAATATGCATTTGAAAATCTTTACTTGTTGTAAGCTAAAAAAGAAAGACTTTTAAAGCAAACTCGCTATAATTTCATCCACTTTTAATTTTGGACAAGCATCCATGTCCAGATTTATTGTCCCATCTAGACCTCATTGGAATTCTATATCTATAATACCATCCAGACCTCTTTTCTCTTCAAGATTTGTAATCTTGACCAGATCTAACAAAGTACAAGTGAAAAGGCAAGATACAATTGAAAAGGTTAAATAATATCGAGAGAAAAAAATAATCAAAGGAGCTAGAGTGTATATAAGTGATAAAGCTGGTAATGTGTATTCAAAAGCAAGTGTTATTTTTTTTCTTTTCAACAAGTTTGTGCAATAAGAACATAATTTCAATTTACTTCCTTTTTCTATTAGAGGCAAGCAGATTCCTCCATCAACAACCACATCAATTATAGGGGTGAAAAACATAGTTTCAAAAGCAAAGAAGTCTAAGTTGAACCATGAAGGCTCCTCAACCACTAAGGAATATTTTGAACTACTCAATGAAATGAATTTTTTTATCTCACTCGTTGCATTTAATAGCTTATTGTATGGTTCATTTTTTAGAATTGTGACCATGGAATCTATATTTTGTAATAAAATAATGTATAGTAGGTTGTGTAGTGTTTTCTTTATAAAAATTGAAACTACTATTGCGTTTCGTTATATTAGGATATTAATTGCAGTATGTATGAAAGATTTATATATTTTTGATGACATGTCTATAAACGAGTTACATCTATTTAATACATGCTTTATAGCTAGAGCATATAAAGGCTTCAATTGTTTTGTAATGTGAGGTTTTATTTATGACTTTGACATTTTGATTCTTTTAGGCTTAGCTCTATGGATCTATAATCTTGAATAGATTCGCTAATATAAAATTTCATAATATATATATATATATATATATATATATATATATATATATATATATATATATATATATATTTTACTTTGGGTTACAAAGAATGAAAAGAATCGATACAATTCTCCATAAACTATATTACCAAGTCCATCTAACTAATGTAAGGAGCTTGCTTTTGTGGATAAGGTCTGGTGGCCTTTTAGAGGCTATCTTTTGTGAGTCATTTAATGAAAGAAGTAAGGCCATAGCTACAGAGTAAATGTAATCATTACATAATTTAATGTAATATTTTACAATAGCATAATTTAATATATTACATAAGACATTGCATAATTTAGAGAGACAAGTACTAACTTGCCCTTTTACTCATATGAAGGTAACAAATATCCTAATAACATAAAACCTATCAATGTTGTTAAAAAATATAACTTGGTAACGACTTTGACTTACCCTCCTAACTCTTGCATGCTAATCCTCAATCCTTGCATTTGAATTTTCATTTCAATAATTTCGGATCTCATTTTATCGAGTTCTTTAATCAAATGAATTTTAGTTTTTTTTTCTTTCCTTTGCTTCAATTCCTATTAAACTTGAATTTTCTTTTTCAAGTATCTCAAATAACTCTATTCTTTCCTTTAACTCTTCGATCTTAATTATCATTGACTTTCTATCTCCACACATGATGTGATCATCTTCAATCCATTTTTGAAACCCATAATTGTCAACCTTAAAGTTATAATATTTTATAGAAATAAAATATCAAATATATAGTATATTTCATGTAACAAGAGAGAAATTTTAGTAATGTCGGTAACTAAAAATAATAAATACCTTTCAATATGGGTAATAAACAAATTTCTTTGCTTGGTTAGTTTTAGTTCATGAAATATACGAGCTCATCTCCATTTTGTGCTTGCATAAAGGCATCTTGAAAGTTAGGAAATATATTTTTAAAGCTTCATCTATGTTAAAGCTACTATATGTATATGCCATATTTGTGAGTTTTCTGAAAGTTATGCAAATGTAGGTATGGGCAATATAGGTTTGGGTTTTGATCCATCACAAAAGTAATTGATCCATCACAATACGATTGAAGAATTTACACGAGTAAAGGAGGCACCAAAACCTAGAATCATCAAAATAGATATAAATAAGAAAATCCATAAAATAAAATGAAAATAGGTAGAGATAGAGAGAGAAGGAACCTTATAATTGAAGATTCATGGAGGAATGAGTACTAGTTGAAGATCCGTGGGTATTGCGAGGAATGAAGGATGAAGGCTATATTATAAATTTTAGGTTTGATGGAATCAAATAGATTGCCGGATTTGATGAAGAAAAATGGTTTGGTTCCTAACTAGTGGACTTACAATATTTATAGACACTCTTTGTAAATCAAAACGGATAGCGGAACCTTGTGATTTTTTTAATTCACTTAAAGAGAAAGGCATAAAGGCAAACGAAGTCATACGCACTACGTTGATTGATGGAAATTACAAAGTTGAGAAACCGGATGAGAAAATCGATAAAAAATAAGAAAAAAACAAATAGAGATAGAGAGAGAAAGAACCTTATAGTTGAATATTTATAGGGGAATGAGTCCTAGTTGAAGATTTATGGGTTGCCCGAGAGGTATGCAAATGTAGGTATGGGTTTTGGTTTAGGAATTTTATGAAGAGAAAAAGGAATGGTTGAAGAAGAGAAGAAGATTGGGGTTCTTGTTCATCGTGCATAAAGAAGAGAAAAAGATTGGAGTTCTTGTTTGTTGGGCAAAGAATAGAAAAAGATTAAGAATTTAGGCTAGTTATTCGTCAATCGGTTAAAGAAGAGAAGAGAACAAATTAAGGATTTGGTTTTTACGGAATTGAATTGAATTAGGTTAGCTAGTTTTAGGATTTGGTTTTGAATCGGTGGGTAGGCGATGTCGTCCATCCTAGATGAATATAATTGTTATCCATATGTCATCCTATGTGGAATTTCATCCAAGGTGTCATCTTACGTGTCATACCATGCCGGATGAACTCAAAATCTTAAATGAAAAATGGCTTCCATGTTGAAATTATTATCGAAGCATAGATCATGTATTTTTAAAATATTTTTGAAAAAACATACTAGAAAGATTAAAAGGTGTATAGTTCATGCTTTTAGAGTATAATAAGCCTATTTAATATGATCTATCGACGTCGACCATCGTTAGGGGGTAGGACAAGGAGTTGCCACCTAAATAATTAGGGAGAGCTGAAAAACCCTAAACATACTAGTCTATAGGGATAATCTAAGTAAGGGGTTGGTTACATATAGAAAAGATATGACATCACCACTATCTTATCCTACCTAAGGTAGGTTGTATTGTTTGTCTATGAATATAAAAATCTAGGTTTTTTTAATCATGTTATGCTTCTATGCCTATTTAAATGAGTTCATTTCGTTAAAATATGAAGAATGATGGTTTGAATGTAAAACAAAATAGTTTGAGAGTTTAGGCTAGTTTAAAGCCAATACTCCCTACTCAAAGGGGGAAAGATGGGAGAAGTTGGAATTTTAACTAGTTATTATTGAACACAACCTATTATCGATAAATAAGTGAGTTTCTAAAGATATATAGTCTTTATTGCCATGAGTGGTGAGTCACTAGTGGCTTCACTCACACAAGTGGAAAGCCATCAACTTTGAGTTATGGATTTAAGAAGTTACTAACAACTTCATCACAAAAGTGAAAACCCATCGATAACTTCATATCACTCAAACGAGCGACAAATGATCAATTTAAAAGCCATCGACGACTTCGTCACATAAAAGAAGCCCTTAATGGCTTCGTTTCAAGAAAGCATGCAATAAATAAAGAAAGTAATTTGAAGATCGCCGATAACTTTTTCACATAGGTGGGAAGCCATTAGCAACTTTATTTAAATAGAACAAACATATTTTAGATATACATACAATAAATAACTTAATTTTCGAACCGTTAGCTCTGAAACGGGTAGGAAGTTATTAACAACTTTATTTAAACAAAATAGTTAACAAATAGTACCCATAACCATCCACAATGCAACATGTTCACGACCATCTTAACACAACTCATATGAATTTAGAGGTTACCCAAGCTTCGAGATATCCTCATTCGAATCGGTTTATTTCCTTTAATCTCAATAAAGACTGGTTGTTTTAGTCGACTGAGAAGGAGGAAACAACTATTGTTGATACCAAAGAGGTTGTTACATAGTGGTTGGAATGCTACTGGTCGGTTTTAAAATGACCAAAATGCCCTTAAAAGTGAAATGACCATACCTTTACATTGTAAAATTATAAAAATGCCCCATAGAATGCCAAAAGTCAATTATCAAATGATCATTCATTTTTCGTTGGCCCTTCGGATGCATGGGCCACCTTGCATTATAGAGGAGGTTACTCGCGAGTGGTAGATGTTGGTAACGACGTTGGAGGAGGGAGATAGGAACCTCCAAAGTTTCGGTCGAATCCTCCTTTCTCATCGATGATGATTCGATCACTTTTTGGGGTTTCAAGGATACCAAGTAAGTCATGAGACTATAAGGAGGATATCTCGTAGTGATTAAGACTTCAAATTCATTCTAGATTGGCCAATTTTTTTAGGTTCTTCTAAATGGGTTGAAAATAGATATTTTTTGATTAAACTATTTTTTGATGATGTTGGGCCAAGAATTCATAGGGGAAATGCTCAAGGAAGGGGGACATCCAAGTTTTAGTGGTAGAGCTAGGATATTCAATCAAAATTTAGAGATACAAAAGAGTCTTTTAACATGTCGAGTCGTGATGGTTTAAGTTTTGATTTCTCTCTCCTCCATCATCATTTCCTCTTCTAATCAGTAGGGATAGGCCGATCTAGTGACAAGCTACATGTGGGTTGTGGTGATTGGGGTCAAAATTGACCAAAAAGTGGTTGACTTAAGGGAGAAATGTTCAATTAGGAAAATCGATAAACGGGTCTAGTGTTCGGGTTAGGGCCTAATTGGGGTCAAAATTGACCAAAAAGTGGTGTTTTTTTCTTGGATGGAGAAGGGTGGCTGGAAAATATGGAGAATGTTACGGTGGTTGGTTTAATGAGAAGAGAAGGTGATGGTGGTTTTTTGATAGAGAAAGATGGCTTCAATGATGAAAAAGTGGGATTTTTATGGGCTTTTGGGTAGAAAAACCCGTACACCCGACTAAAGAGTGGTGAGCAAGTGGCTAGAAATTTGGAAGAGGTGGAGGCCTTTTAGTGGAGGATGGGTATGAGGGAGGAAGATGAGTGCTTATGAGATGGTTATGGTGGTTTTCAAATGAAAGAGAAGTTATAGTAGTTTTGCGAGGGAGAGCGGAGTTGGAAGTGTTTTTCAAATGAAAGAGATGAATAGTGGATGATACTAAAAAATGCATGGGAATGACTTTTATATGTAGGGTTTTTTTATGATAAAATTCTAATTTGGTCCCCAATTCTTTGTCATCCATCAATTTGAGTGTAATTTTGATTTTTGTTTCTATGAGACCCCTAAATCTCAATTAATTGGGAGTTTTCTTTTTGATTTCTTCCAATTATGCCTCTCTTTATTTTAATTAATGGACATAAGTTTTGATTTTTTTAATCGGGCTCTCAATTGTCCTTTTTATTACTTCTAAACTTTCGATTTTTCTTAATTAGCTCCCCCTTTTTTAGAATTAATCATAAACTAATTGTTTTAATCGATTTTTTTTTCTTTTTACTAGGTATTTTTTTTTATACCATTTTTCACTTTTTTTTCTCATTTTTCACTTTCATTTTTTTTAGTTTCTTGCAATAAAAATAAAAATAGAAGTAAAGCTAATAAGGGTAAAAATTTTGGGTGATAACATGATTATTAACTAATAACCCCAAGAGCGTGGCTGCAAATGTTATTTTCATTAAAATAACATTTCTCCCCGAAGAGGGAAGTCTTCGATTACTTTTGTTTTGCTTTTTAACTAAAAAATTAAGCATTACATTGATGACTTTTCGGATGCAACGTTACCAACTCGCATTAAGATTTGTCGAACCCAAGATTTATGTTATATTTTTTTTATAGTATTTTTCTAATAGTTTCATATTCTATTTTATTTTATGAGTTTAATTTTAGAACTTTACATTTTTTATTTCGTAACAAAGAGAAAAGAAAAAAATCAATTATTTTGTTTAACCAATTTTTCAATCTTTATTTTCATCATTTTAATTTGTCTTATCATTTCTTTTTTATTCATCCCATTTTATTTTACTTTTTATTTATCTACTTATTTTATTTTATCCTCTTATTTCACCCACTACAATAAAATTGAGGATTGACGATCGTTGTTTAGCAACGGTTTAGAAAATCGTCGCTAAAAACCTAGAATTCGCAACTATCCGAGTAGACCGTCATGAATTTTGTTTCAATTTTGGATTTTTAGTGACGGTTTTTTATTATATACATGTGTATATATATACTGTTGTTTATATAAATGTGCTTAATTATTTTTTGTTAATTATTAGTTAGTTTAATTTATTTTCTTATTATGGATAATTTATTACTTGTTAAGTAATTATATTAGGTGTTAAGATAACTTATTTAGATGCAAAATAACTTATTAGGTGTTAATTATGTTACTTAGGTGTTAACATAAGTTAATTATGTATTAATTAAATTAATTATGGTTAAAAAAATTTAATTAGGTGTTAAGTTTATTTATTTAGGTGTGAAATAATTTTATTAGGTGTTAAATAAGTTAAATCGGTGTTAAAATATTTCATTGGATGTTAAATTTATTATAATTAGGTGTTAATTAAATTAATTAATTGTTAAAAAAATTAATTAGGTGTTAAGTTAATTTATTTAGATGTAAAATAATTTTATTAGGTGTTAAATAAGTGACTTATGTCTTAAAATATTTCATTAGGTGTTAAGCTAATATAATTAGATGTTAAAAAAAAATTAATTAGGTATTAGTGTAATTTATTTATGTGTAAAATAAATTTATTAGGTGTTAAGTAAGTTAATTTGGTGTTAAAATATTTAATTTGGTGTTAATGATGTTATTTTGGTGTTAAATGTTTTTTTAATTATGTGGTTAAACAATTTATAGTTGATACTTATATGAAATCATTTGTTATATTATTTTTTTTATCAAGTTTCTTATTTAAGTATTTATGTAGTTATACTTGAAATGTGAAGAAATTAAAGTATTTGGTCACCGATATTAGGGTGACACTCTAGGGATATGACGTTGCTAGGGAAATAATTGAGAAGGTATAAGGTCGCTCCGCGATGGAGATGAAAGGGAAAAAATAGTGTTATCTTGGTTCATGTATGTAATTTACGTTGATTTCGATACATAGTGATGGATTGTGTTGCATGTTTTATGTATTTTGTTAATCTTAAAGTTTGTTAATTGGAAAACATTCAATTTATAGGAAAAATCTGTCAAAATTTTGTTAGAACTTTAATTAGTTGTAACAAACATTTGTATGATGTCTAATGCATAATTTTTAAATAATAATAACTAGTTATTCTGTTTTTTTTTTTTTGCTTGAA